AAAACAGGATATTTGAAAATATCTTTCTGCCACTGAGACTTATAATTCTGATACAGTTGTTTTGTTATCATCTTGATAAAAATATAATCATCATCGATCTTTTGAGTTTCCCAATATGAGAATAAATCACATTTTTTCAAAATATCAATGATTTTGTTTGACCAAGTGCCTTTAAAACCCAGTTGGCTCATTTCACGGTCATGCGTATATGTTTTATGAAGAATGTTTCCAGGTGATAGATGAATTAAACGGAGCCAATATTTAATTAACTTAATTTCAAAACGTATTTTTAATGGGTAACGTCCTAATTCTCCATAGACTGCTGGTGTTGCTGTTGATTTTTTAACACCTAATAAACTTTTAAGAAAAGATAAATGCATTGTCTCTATTGTCTTAAGATGTTTTTCATTAATCCACACCTCTGAAGCATAAGTTAGGATAGGTTCAACTAAAGAGTCAAAAAGGTGCAATGCAAGATTAACTGGAATGTCATTAAATTTTTTATATTGCTGTTTAACTTTAAACAAAGCTTTTCTTGCCTGCTCTTTTAGATAACATACATGCTGGTCAAAATTCTTAGTTTTGCTGAATACACATCCTAGATATTTATATTGCTCAACACTTTCTATTGCACTATCATTGAATGTGAAAACTATATCAAATTTTGAGTTAAAAACAATTGATTTTGTCTTCATTGTGTTAACTATAAGATGATATCTCTTACAAAAATCAAAAAGACAATTGAGCAAAGTTTGGGCGCCATCTTTACTATTTGACATCAAAATAAGATCGTCAGCCCAAAGTAAGTGGTTTAACGTATTTCCATCAAATTGAATACCATTTTCTTTTGGTAGATTATCTTTTAAATCATCAAGGAAATGGTTGAATAAATAAGTACTAAGTACAGAGCCCTGCATTACTCCGACATTTGTTTCGAAAGCAGGGGTGACACCTTCTTTTAATTTCAGGCATGCTTTTGACTTTTCATACATACTTGTTATAACCTTGAACATATTAGAATCAGGTGATATTCCCGATTTACATAGTTTATACATAAGTGCCACTCTATTTACATAGTCAAATGCTTTTCGAAAATCTATCATAATACAGAATAATGGCTTTTTCATAAGCTTATAACGGGTTATGATTGTGTTTAAAATATATAAATTATCTGTTGTTTGATGTCCAGATTTACAAGCACCTTGAAGTGGATCCTGAATATCTAACATTTCGGCATTAAAAACGAGTCTGTTTTGTATTACTCTATCAAAGATATTTCCTATACATGCTAAGACATTTATTCCCCTATAGTTATCAGGATTAAATCTACAACCTTGTTTAAAGAGAGTTGTTAACATACCTATACTCCATTCATTAGGGTAATCACCATGAAAAAAGATGTGATTAAAAAGGGATGTAAATTCAGGGACTAATATACTGCAATTTTTAATGATATTAGAAGGTAACCCATCAATTCCAGGAGCTTTGTTAGCTTTAACTTTATTAAGAGCAGCATATACTTCAAATTCTTTTATACTGCCATTAAGGACTTCATGACTTATTCTTATTTCCCCTGTGCAAACACCATTTGTATCATATTCATCAATAAATAATTGCATCTCTTTTAATGCTTCGTCATCAAAATAGTCAATTTTGGGGTTCTTACCCAACTTTTCAAATGCACAAAAAAGTTCTGATGCCTCAATAGGGATTTCATTTGTATTACTGCTTCCTGGAATACTGTTTATCATTTTCCAGAATTCTGTTGGATTTTGAGATTTGAAAGAAATGAGAGATTTTAATAGATTTGACTGATATGCTCTTTTTTCATGTTGTTTAGTTTGATTGTACTTTCTCTGTAAATCAGCAATAATGTTATTTGGTAGCTTCTGCTTAATGGCAGAATGTAAATCCTTTTTCAATTTCTTGCATTCACTATTAAACCATGGGTTCATTGGGAACTTTTTAGTACTTTTCTTCAGATGTTTAAGTGGGAATATTTTATCAGAAGTGTCATATATTACATGTTTAAGAGACTGTAGTAAACAATCTGAGTTGGTATTTGAACCAACATCAACATAAAATTTCTCAAGTAAACCATTGTTAATATTAGCATCCAATAGCTCAGTGAATTGTTTCTTTAATGTAGGATCCCATTTAAAGTAAGAGTAAGGTAAATTCTGCATGTTTTTGCTGGCTCTATCTTTAATTTTGAACTGACCTAGGTTGAGATTAAAATGTATAGGACAGTGGTCAGAATCTGGATGCCGTTCATGTACTTTAAAGTCTGAAATTGTGTTGAGAATATCAGCTTGAACTGCAACATAGTCTAATACAGATTTCCCTTTACTTGGATCTAAATCATTTTCATTTATATATCTATAGTATGTAAAGTGACCAATATTTTTATCATGAAAGAATCTCCCATTTAGTATTCTTAAATTAGATGCCTTGCATAAACTTATGAATTCATTGCCATGTGTCTGGCTTATTGCCTTTAGATTTTTATCCATTGAGACACGATTATGAAGAGAGGCATTTAATTCATGATGATTATTTATATGGTGGTCATTTAAAAAATAAGAATTGGTAAACTGATCATTTGATCCATGAACATCAATATTCAAATCTGACAACTGGGCAGTACGAGCGTTCATATCTCCACATATGATTGTTTTACCAGATAGTTGATAAGAAGCAATCGATTTCTCCAAGATGTCAAAATTGTCAAAATTTTCATAAGTTGAACCTTTATGTGGCATATAAACAAAGCATATATAAATATCATTCTCTAAATTATATAAAGAAGACTTAACTCTTATCCATACAAAGAAATCATGAGTCTGTTTTAACACCTCAATTGAACTATACAATTCATCCTTTATGAAGACAGCAATGCCTCCAGAATAAACATTTGAGTTACTATTTTTAGACTTTCTTGCCAGATTATGTACAGTATAACCATTAAATGATAAGCTGTCACATGGATCTAACCATGTCTCGCTTAACAGGATCACTGCATATTTACTGAAAAGCTCATAAATATCACATCCATCATATAATTTATCAGAAATTCTGTTAATATTCCAAAATAGAAAATTTATATCTTCTTGACTTGTATTATCATTTGTTTGGTTTAAATGTGCTTTTGTGTTGTTGTCAGTTGATTTGAGCCTATAGCGCAGATCATGCGACTTGGCATTCAACTGCGTTGTTACAGAACTAGAAAATTGAATACTATTTACATTTTGGGAAACCTGACCTGATGTGGAGTTCCAATGTACATTGTGAGGGCTTAAATCAAAGTTTACATCACCTTCACTTGCATTATCATTTGTTTGGTTCAAATGTGCATTTATGTTTTTCTCAGTTGATATGAGCCTATAGCGCAGATCCTGCGACTTGGCATTCAACTGTGTTGTTACAGGACTAGAAGATTGAATACTATCTACATTATGGGAAATCTGACCTGATTTGGTGTTCAATTGGATATTGTGAGGGTTTGAATCAGAATTATTTACAGTCTCATTATCTATATATAATGAGGCTTCATTTATCATCATATGATTTGATTCATGGAAATGAATAGCATTGCATTCCATCTCATTACAAGAGTCACTCATACATTCTGTGTCTATGATACTATCACACTGATCAGTGTTTATAACTTGAGCCCAGTTCGAGGGTAGTGAGGGTTTCCAATTCTTGCTGCATCTGCATAGGAGTTGTGTGTTGAATTAATGATAGACAACATCGCATCTACCAACCGAGTTCTTCCAGTGTGATTAAAGTGGAGTTTGTCATTAAAAAGTATGTTCATGTTGGGGTTCTGTGATGTTGAATCATTGATTCTGTTGATATTAATGAAATGGAAGCCTTTTTTCATGGCAAAAGACTCCATCTCTCCATTGACATGGTCAATTTTGATATTCATTTGTTTGACTTCTTGTGGTTTGACATGATCTCCCCGGTGATGCAGTCCACACAAGGTTATTTTAGAAGTTGGATGCTGGTTTTTGGCTGTCATTGCAAGGTTTTTTAACTCATAAATAATGGTTTGTGCAGAGTCATCTTTTACATTGTTTGTTCCAAAACCGAGGAATTTGTGATCTGTTGATCTACCTATGTCACCTTGTTGTATGACTCGGGTTGCATATTCAATGTTAGCACCACTATATACTGATGAAGTCACATTCATGCTTTTCCCTTTTGATCTAGCATTCATAATACCCGCCAATTTCTTTCCATTTGAAGAGTACATTATATGGACAGAAGTAGGGAGCTGCTTGTGACCATTGTTGAATTCCCTTGGTGTTGGCTTAGGGGGGTTCTTTGGAGCAACTTTAGCTGCTTTGTTAGAGGGTCTCTTGTTGGTAGTTGGTGAGATACCTTGTTTGTCATGGGTAGGTAATCCCTTTGAAGCAGAGTTTGGGGGTGTATTTATGACAGGCAATGAGGTATTCTTAGTGACAGAGGTCTTGGAAGTCCTGGTCTTTGAAGTTGGTTGTCCCTTTGGAATAACTGTTGGGGGTGTCATTGATTGTGGGAGTGACTGATTGAAATCATGACAACCCATCTGTTGAAATCTCTCTATACTTTCTGTTTAGGCCCACTGAATCATGACGTCATGGATCAAATTTGTTTTGTATTTGTTCAAAAATCAATTGCGCGGTTATAACGTTGGGATTCCCAAAAAATCAAAAAACCAGAGCGATAAATAAGGATGACTGACATCACTAGTACACAAGGGGGGGGGGGGGGGGGGGGGGGGGCGATCTGACTGATCCGTTTAATATTTTATTATGATATTAGATTATTAACAGTAATTTGTTATTTCTTTTATAATGATTATCCTGAGATTTCTACGTTGGACTTACATTACAGAAATCTGCATTTTTGGAGCTGCAAGTTGAGAAAACCTATTTCATTTGTGCTTTATGTTGAATTTAGTGCAAATGTTTTATACTACTATTGTGTACTTCCAAGAAAGAATATTTTACCTTAGTTTGCTGGGCTGGTACACGAAGGTAAAATTCCCAGTATTGGCACAATTTATGTCCCTCCATTGTGTGCCTTAAATCCTAAAACATATAAACAAACAAATAAATGAGGCTGATTACACATTAGATGAAGTTTAAAGGTATAAAGTGAGAAACATTTTATGAGTGTCCAAATCTGACATAATGAGGAAATTTTTATGTCTCCTTTATTAACAAACCATCATTGTCCATCAACCCTTCCATGAAAGCAGTATCTATTTGTTGTTAGGTTTCATCATGGGCTTCCAAGAGGGCCCCTGAAGACATTTGTTTTTTTTTAGATCAAGCCTTCCTAACTCTCTATTTCTTAACAAGGTACATGTTTATTCCAGGGATAGGAGTTGCCTGAAACTTTTTGCTATGGTATTGGAACACAAGGTAGCACTAGCACTTTCAGGTCTGGACTAAGACACATCGATTCCAGTAATTTTTAACAAATGATCAAAACATTTATACATCTACATTTTTTAGTTATTAGAAGGTTTTACTTCCGGTGTAATGGTGGAAACACGTTTCCAAAATGTCTCCGCCATCTGATGAGGATTTACAATATTACGAGAAGATTCTGAATTTACTAACTGAAGGACCGAGGAACGACGTTGTCGAGCAGCTATTGCATGATGGATCCGAGGAGGATTTTGACATGATACGTGATTACTTCTTCGAAAAGGCAAAATTAAAAGTCACGGAGCATTGTGACTCTTTATTTGGACCGTTAGCAGAGCGCGAGGAACATGAAGTCCCTGTAAATCTGCAGCCTAAGAAACGCCAGGGTAAGAACAAGCTTACTAATACAGTTATGGACATATGCGACCTATATTTATACCTGACAGATAACGTAGATATGTTCCCAAAGGGTGTTTTGAGTACGAACAGTTTCCTGCCCGAGGTAACCGTGTCCAGGGAGGCCTCTAATAACATGCATCGAAATGAACGTGCTGCATCTATGGATGTTACAATAACCGTACTAACACAGAGGGTAAAGGAGCTAGAAGCTGAGAGGGATTCTATGAGAAAGGACATTTGTACTTTGTCTTCGAAACTTGACCAGATCAAGGGAACATGTAAAACGTTGCAATCTGAGCTTGACTGACCCAGAATACGAACTCTATGCAGGGCAATCTAGCATCTATTACACGTATTGTAACTAGCTCTAAACCTTCCGACCTAGTGAATTCGAATGCACCCCCTAAACAGACTCAACAGGTAATGACTAATTTCGCCGAATCCTGTATTAGTGGATTGAATGCCAGTAAGTCGTTGAGTACGCAAAATGACCCAGTCGTTCCGAATTCCAGCGATGGGTCAACTAATGTAAACAATAACATTCTTTCCGAATCGAACCAGGTCAGTGCAACCCCAGCTGGTGATGTAAATCGTTTGGCTCCTGATAAAGATTACCCTGGTGCATCGAAAAATACGAATGTGTCGCATACACAGCTGCCCTCCGAATGCCTTTCGGCAGCTAGCAACTGATGTAATAAACCGAACGTTGAACCCTCCAAACAACGTATTAAGAGTCCCACATCTCGTGGCAGTCCCCAGAAGACGTACCCGAGAACCCAAACTCCTACGCAGCCCAGAACCCAGAGTCCCACTCCTCCCAGACCCCCTAGATCGAATCTTAACCTGAATACGCTTAAAGGGACGAGCGAGCAGGTGACCTATGGTGTGACGGAGACTGGTGTATGGCGCGGCCCACCCCCCACTGATCGCGGAGTATGGAAGGGCCCAGATCCCCATGGGAAGGAATGGCAGACGTGGCTCGGAAATAATCAGCTTCGGCGAAAGAAGGCGGTGGCGAAACAAAAGGAATATGTTAACACAGTCCCCGCAAGACCGATTACAACGCGTGACAATGTAAGCACACGACCCCGAAATAGTGGCCTGAGAGGCATTGAGTATGAGGAAGTGAGTGTGCTCTATTTAGAAAATATCTATCAATCATGTGAAGAGGACGATGAGGATACAATTTGTAATGTGAAACGTTTTGCATTGGATAATAATATCAGGTTGAAACATACATGTTGTGCATAACCGGATATCCTGTGACAAAGTCGGATGCAAGATAATGATACCCAAACACCAGGTAGATAGGGCTCTTTGTGTTGAATTGTGGCCTGTTCCTATTAAATGTAGGGTATGGGAACGTCGGAGACGACGTTATTTTGACAATGATGATAGAAGTGATGTTGATTTAAGACCGAGATATATTTTATAACTATCACATTCAAGATTATATTCTTAGTGCAATTACTGTTTACTTTTGTTACTTTAACCTTTACCATGCTGCCTTATTTCAGCAAATATATCCCACGCAACTGGCTTATTTTTCAAAGAGTGCAAAAAATGATATACCGGTACCTGGACTAAATAATTAATATCTCAATAACTACTGAATGAATCTGGATAAAATTTTCACAAAGGGAAGATAAAGTGGCCTGGCTCATGAAAAAAATGTTCTCATGAATTTTTTTCGTACATTAACACGACTGGGCATAAATATACCATGAATACTCCTCCGGAATCCGCCTCTTCGTCTGGTCAGAATCCAAATCTGAATTTGCAGCGATCGAATGTTCAATTTTTCAATTCAGAAAATATTCTAGTTTCTATTTTCGATGACCGTTATCGGCTTCCAAGAGCCTAAAGAGCTCAAAATCGTAATCCATTTCCTCCACATTTTCGTTGTGATCGTATTTGTCCACCATTTTGTACGATTCGTTCACTAAAAACGACTAAAACACTGTTTAAATTGTTGAATTGAGAATTATTTTTCGAAATATCACCATTTCTAGGTCAACAGGAAGTCATGTTAGGCACTGAATAAATCGGGCAATCTAATTGGACAATACGAATGGCGCGAAAAAGTAAAGTTTTTAAAAGTTTGAAATCGGGCGTACGGGTCCGCCGGCAGTTGTGAGAGACATTTTAGTCTCAGCGGACGAGTCCGCCGGCAGCACGCTAAAGGTTAATACAGTTAATGGTATCTATATCGCAATGGAACATCAACGGTCTGAATTCTTCGGAGGTGTACCTGAGAGATCTGCTTAGGTCGAGCGACATAGTTGCTGTTTCAGAGCACCGTTTGTTTGAATGTAACCTTAACAAATTAAGTTCTGATGATTCTGATTTTAACACTCTTGCTTATAGCTGCAAATCATTTGATTCAATGCAATGTGGCCTAACATGGGGACATGGGGGTATAGCCTTAATGTGGCGAAAGTCCTTAAAATATCCGGTGTCACCGATTAGAAAATATTGTACTGACAGGGTTGCATGTATTAAGGTTGAAACGAATACACCAATTTATGTATTTTCTGTATATTTGCCCCAAATAGGGTGCAAAAATTATGTTTTTGAGGATGTTTTAATTTTTCTCGAGGAGTGTGTAAACCAATGTAAACAAGATGCAAATTGCATTATTACTGCAGCCTATGGAAAATCATCTCCAATTATCACCTAACTTACTATTGATAATTAGTTGAAAGTTAGGTGTAAAAATTCACATGCAAATGAGCTAATTATCAACTTAATTAACGCTTAATTTGCAACTTAATTAACGATTAACTACCATCAATATGCAAATGAGCTATTTACGTAAATTAGTTGAAAGTTAGTTGTAAGTTTGATGTAAGTTAATCTCTAATTATCACCTAACTTACTATTGATAATTAGTTGAAAGTTAGGTTTAAGTCAGATTTGTGACATCTCAAAAATGACTCGCTTCTTTTTTGCTTCTCTTCACTCGGAGATTTTTGCTTCATCTTGAACTATTTTGTGACGGAATATTCATCTTAATTAGGATCTTTCAGAACAGACAACATTGAACTTGAACTATTGAAATTTCACAGCAAGAGGAGGGAAAACCCCATGATTCAATTGATGACATACGATTTCCTCCTTCACACACCTCCTTTTGTCGAAAACGTACCCTCCATCTTCGTTTTCAAAGTTTTCAAATTGACCTAGTTTTAAACCAATCAACGATCGACTCGCTAAACCAATCAGCGACGATGTCATCTCAATACAGATTTACATTATAAGCGTATGTCATCTTTGAACCCTGGGGTTTCTCCCCCTCTTTTTTAAGGCTATTATATTTTGCAAATTTTTAATATTCATGAAAAGCATGTGAAAACATCATTATTGCCATCAACAACTAAAATCAGAACACAAACATTAGACTATAATGTTACATAATAAGGACGTAACAGATATAATCAAAAATATGTTTTGAAATGTCTTTGATCTAACAATCATTATTTAGAAGAGCACATTTGGATTACTTGAGAAATATAGGTAACCCATGTTAGTACCTAAATTGCATTCTAGGATTAATATTATATGATCTGATTCAAAAAGATTTTTAAGGTGCTATGGAAGTTAACAGGAAATGACAAAACAGGAAGTGACAATTTTTTTTGCATTTTTAGATATTTTTTGAATAAAGATAACAGAGTTCTGGTTTGACCTCCAGTCAATTTAACTATTTCCACATATCATTTACATGACCAGGATCACAATGTGCATGGTCAGAATGACCCTAAACATGATGAAATAACCTTTTTAGCCCTTTGAAAGTGTGACTGAAAAAAAGCTAAAAGTAGGAGCGTAGGGATAGTCACTGAACAGAATCTTTTGAATTTTTCAGAAAATGTGCCCAATATAATGCTCTAACTAGTACAATCTTTGAAATTTTAGAAAATTATCTTAAACAAAAATGGCGGTCATAAAAAGGAAAATAGATCGCTTTTCAAATCAGTTTTTTCATTTTTTTTTCTTTTTCTATGAATGATATCAAATTTTCAAAGATTGTATCATTTAGAGCAATATATTGGGCACATTTTATGAAAAATTCAAAAGATTCTGTTCAGTGACCTTCCCTACGCTCCTACTTTTAGCTTTTTTTCAGTTACATTTTCAAAGGGCTAAAAAGGTTATTTCATCATGTTTAGGGTCATTCTGACCATGCACATTGTGATCCTGGTCATGTAAATGATATGTGGAAATAGTTAAATTGACTAGAGGTCAAACCAGAACTCTGTTATCTTTATTCAAAATATATCTAAAAATGCAAAAAAAATTGTCACTTCCTGTTTTGTCATTTCCTGTTAACTTCCATAGCACCTTAAATTCATAAACATTTCAGACAGAAGTGTGAATAAGATTTAACATACATTGTATTCATGTTCTACATACCCTTATAATAATGTTGACCAAATTTCATGGTAGTATACGCACCATTCACGTTGTAATTCTCAATTTTATGAGAGAAATATCTCTCACATGTTTTCTTTTTCCACCATCTTGAAATTAAATTTAGGGGGTTTGTATTTCTAAATCATGGGCCTAATTTACGACTAATTATCATTATAATCATCCTATATGTTAACTATCAACCAATAATCTACTTCAGAACATAAACGTTTTAATTTACCACTTACTATCACCCTCAAACATTTCATCTTAATTATCAACTAAAAATCATAAATCAGCATTATTGTAAGTTAATTTACGTTGAACTTGCTACTGATAATTAGGCCATAATTATCATTGATTTAATTAACGCTTAACTTTAATTCCAATTGCCAGCAGAATTGTTGATAATTAGTTGTAAATTAGTTGGTAATAAGTTGGTAATTAGTTTTATTTTTCAATTGGGTGGGGATTTTAATCCCCAAATGAGTCACATGTTATTTTTCAAACAAGAATAACTCCTTCCCCAAATTGTCTACATCTTGCAGGTTTTCACAAAGAGTGCACTTATGTGCCTAGAAAAGCCTTATGAGAAGATTTGTTATGTAAAATGTATAAAAAATGAGAAAATTCAGTGAAAAAAATTTCTGAAAATTTTCTAAATTTTTTCACTGAATTTTCTTGTTTTTTATACACTTTATCAAAACATTCTTCTCACAAATCTTTTCTAGGCACATAAGTGCACTCTTTGTGCAAAACTGGAAGATATAGACAATGTGGGGAAGGAGTGATTCTTGTTTGAAAAATAACATGCGACTCAATTGAGGACTGCAGAAAATTTCCCATCATGCACCCTGACCTTAAACTTTATAAAAATTGCGACCAAAAATTATAGAGGGTATAATTTGATTATTTAAACTTTACCTCGTGAAGTTCGTCTTCGTCCAAAACGATTTATTTTAGTTCTCGAGAATGCACGAACAGTTTATTCAATTATGAAAGAGATTTCAATAAAAAATAACAGAAAGAAACCTCTTGATATACAGTGCTGGTATATATTAATTGATCAGTCGTTTAATTGGCATATTTTCTTGAATTTTAACATTTAATGTCCCAAACTCCCACAAACTGCAGAAAAGTATACCCCATAAATCATATTTACCAAAATGAGTGTCTCCAAGGCTTCACACCAGCGTATGTATAATGCATTTTTCACGAGTTTGAGCTGAAATTTCGCCAAAATGAAGTAGGCTAAGGGTAGTCTCTGCCAGGTTTGTTTATTGTGGTAAGCTTGTAAGTGCTCGGAAGCAAATAATTCACGTGTGCAAAATAATCAAATAATCTAATTGGTCTAAACTTTGCTGCACATGCGCACAATGTGTGCCATGTTTTTTCTAGTGATTTCGTTTCGTTTCATGGAGTTTGCGTTTCAGTGTAACTTCCGCAAAAATGGCCGACCATGGACAGAATTAACAGGTAAAATCACTTCGAAATTTCAAGAGAACTTTTTACCTATAATTGCAAAACTTTTGTTTTATTTGTGCATTCTATCTATCAGATAAGAGTTTCAGGGGTATGTAGGCAAATTCATTTTGGTAGGAACACTCTTTTAGTTTGAAAACGCACCCTATATATATCAGCACTGTAGTAAAAATGAGCGACCAAAATTGCATATAAAAGCGGGGTCAATTTTTTAGTCAATAAAATATCGCGGGAAAAAGCGCCATCTACGCCTTGTCCAAAGCTAGTATCATTGCAAAACATGCTCCTGTGCCATCACCATTTCTTCAAATTTATGTAAAATCAACCCACCTGTTGTTTATCGTGTCAAACCACTATATATGCGATTACACATGAATTCAAATCGAACACCACTCATTCCTCAAATGTAGTTTTACTTCCTTGTCAACTCTACAACACGAGGAAGCACGTTTAATGCTTGAAATTAGCATTTTTAGTTTTCGAAAAGTTGATCTGGATTTGATCATGTGATGTTTTGAACGAGGGTAAATTTCGGATAATAAGCGGAGTTGTTAAAGATGCAGACCAACGCCAGTTATAAATATCGACCTATAAATATTGACTGCCATTTTCTTGTTGTTGTTGTATCTTTACCAAATTGATTGCATCAATCAAATAATAATAATGCAGGGCTAAATAAAAACGTTGTACAGAATGTGTAACTCTCTTTCCTCATCTACATCATGATCCTTAGTAAGAGACACAGAGGCCAAGCGTGGGTATTTTGTGAGAGTACGCCACGAGTGAGCGAAGGGAACGAGTTCGAGGGGGGTTGGGGGGGGTTCTCCCCCAAGAAAATTTTAAAATAAGATTGCATTTGAAGCGTCCTGGGTCGGTTTAAAATACGAAATTCCGACTTAATCTGGACCAATTAAATGTAAATTATTAGTAATTTTTATCCAATATTTTATGATTACATTTCTATTTCTATTTATTTAAGATGCAACAGGCATATTTGCCCACAATGCAAATTTCCATGCATACATTTATATAAAATATTAATATTAAATTATCTATAAGTGTAAAAAGTTACTAAAATAGTTAATGTTAATGTAAAATGCATTAGTTGACTAGAGCTAGTGGTAAAATAAGTTTACCGTAGGCTAAAAAAATTGTCCTTTTATATACATGAACTGACCTGCAGTTATCTATCAGAAAGCATGAACAGGCCCTGTAAAGTTCCCATGTGGCCAGTGCAACAGGGCGGAATAATGTCACTTGAACCCGTTTTATAAAATAATGGCAAGACGAAATAGGTGCTTCTTGGAAATAAAACTCGTTGGCGTCATTTTATTGTTTATAACTGTATACTCATTGTTTATAAGTATAAACTACGTTATATTAGAGAGATTTCGCACCTAGTGAAAGTACAACTTATAACGTATACTTATACTTATAGGTAAACGTACAAGGTGTTTCATAATGTGAGCTTTTCGTCAGGAAAGATCTTCTCGGACTGTAATAAATACAGGTCAAAGAGATGCCATTTGTACTTTGCATGTTTAGTTGATCCAAATGTGTTTGTCTAGAATAAAATAGGCTCATATATAGTACATAATATGTTATAGACCCATCTCTTCTCAAATTGACTTTTTGGAGATGCTCGTTATGAAACACCCTGTATGTCATATGTTGAGCTACTGAATGGGTCGTTTCCAGGAATTGCTAGAACCTACTGGTTTGATTGGTGTTTCAAATTGATGGTTAAAGTATTTGATTGGATACTGTTCCCACTCAGCCAATTAATTAAAAAAAATGCTTGTGGTCAATTGTTCCACACACATGTAGGCAAATCTTTATACGGAGATCCAACTGTATACGTTATCATCTACGTAAATATACCGTTTTGTAACCCTACTATCACACCAAACTAGTTCTCACTACGTTCTCGAAAACGGGCTTCAACTGTGTACGAACGGACTGGACCTACTAAGAACCGTTTGGGATCTATTTACAAACTTCATAGAACGTACTCGAACGGGTAGGTCCTCAAGAACTTAGACAATGCTCAAAATGTTCTCGTGGTCGCCACGTTCTACAATTAGAACGAGTGACAACGTACTAACGACGACTGAGCTGGACGTACGTACTACGAACTGAACCGTCGTACTTCAATCCTACTAGGGACGTTTTAACAACGAGTTGAACTGTCTGAGGACGTGTTGAGAACGAGGTAGAACTAATTGCAAACGGGTTTAAACTGATTAAGGACGTATTTAACACTGCTTATGAACGAGTTGGCAAAAATATACCTATTACACCAAACAAGTTGCCACTGCGTTCTTCAAAACTGGTTTTAAACTGTGTGCGAACGGAATGAACGTAGCTGCAACTTTCTAAGGTCTATTTACGAACTTTATGAACGTTCTCAGACGGGAATGTGATTTTAGAATTTTGAATCGATTCAAAATTCGATGGCGACCATACCGTTCTGTAATCAGGTCATGTTGACCTTCTAGACTAAGGGACGCGTTCTACTACGTTGCACACCGACGTGGTGCGACCTGAACGAACTGCGAACGAGATGGACGTATTGAAGACTGTTTAAGAACGAAGAAGCTAATTATTTCAGACAAATTTCCCGACCACAGCTAGGACTGGCAAGAACGGGTAAGAACTAGTTTGGTGTGATAGGGGGGTAAGTTCATTGAACTTATACTGATCATGAAAACATTGAAATAATCAACTTGTTTATGTAATGACTCACTTTAAAGAATCATGACTCCCTTTAAAGGATCGTGTTTATAATACACTACAACTACACTAAGGACACGGAAGCAAGCATTTAATTATAATGTGCATAATCTACACGTGCAGATGACAGTGCATTCATAGGCTCTAGTTGATGGAGCTTTTCTATAACGGGAATAGTTATGTTCCATTAAGTACAATTTAAAATTGATTTTAGTAAATATGATAGTTCGACATGACCCTTTAAACTATACGTACGACGTATACGTATAAGTTGTACTTTCACTTATGTGCGAAATCTCTCTAATATATCATGTTTGTTTATGATGATGGACGACGTAAATTGATAAAGTTAACGCTACTTATTATATCTATTTCAAAATTGCATCAACTCAATTCCGTTCAACCACAAAACAGGTGAAAGTTGGGTAAAATACGAACCTAATCATGTTATCATTCATTTGTGCCGCTATGATGATCTACACAAAAAGTACGAACATCCCAAACTCGTACGCTTACGAACGTAAAGAAGCTCGCAGCCGTACAAAAATATATGTATTTCAGAGAGAAAATTTAGATTATTACAACACAATTAAAAAACAAACAACACAGGATTAGAACAAATCATTTATTTTGTTTTTCATATATGATTGTTACTGTTGCTATTATCTTACTATTTAAGATCTATCCAGTATTTTTAAAGTGCGGGGCAATTCATTACAAAAAATCATTTTTATCTCAAATTTGAGAGTACGCAATGGCGTTTTGCGTATATGACGCTACGCCATTGAGACATATAGAACAAGTGTAGCTCCTAGATCCCTACACGCGGGTAACACACAGATCATGATGAAATCCAATTTATTTCACAAGTCAAATGTCATTGCGATCTGGTGGTCATCACACGCTGATCCAGGATTTTGCACTAGAGCGCTGATATATCCCAAAATTGCTCAAGAATGAATGTTGAACATACACTATGAAGAATTTGGAAAAAAGTGCAATTAGGGGCAAGCATTTTCCATCAATCAAAATATGAATGACTTCATGAAAAAGACTTCTTTTAATTTGAGTCAAGTTTTACTTTATTTTCTGGATAAATTTTATGAGAAATTTAAACACAAAAACAGGTATTTTTGACCTATGACTGCTGACCTATACCGGCGATTACTAGAGTGCTGCTAACTCGATAAAAGGCTGGCGCTGGCTAGAATTGTCTATGGTTCTAGCCAGGATAAAGATACCAGTTCTTCAACTCGACAATGGGAAGAACTGCTCTACCTTAGTGACTAATATGTCATGATATGACATCTAAAGAGTCAATAAAAGATATAATAATAATAAATATATTTTATCTATTTTTGAAAAATATCATTTTTTGGAAAAAATTTAGAGGGGGCCCACACACCCGGCGCCACTTCCTTGTTCTGCTAGTGGTCATCAAAGGTCTTATTAAAGACCTACAAGCTCAGAACCTGATGATGATAGTGAGAGGTAAAGAAATCAGATAAAAATACAAATAAATGATCCATAGCTTCGGAGCTCACACAGTGAAATTTTTGTGAATTTTTTGAAAACTGAGAGGACTTGGAAAATTGGAATTTTAGGTCAAATAAATACTATTTATAGACATAAATTGGATATACATATAAATATGACCTTATACAAATTACAAATAGGCTTTTTAACTTTCACCAATTTAGACAGATTGATGAATGAGGATGGGTGCCTAACTGACCCCATAGGCTGAAATGAGTCAAAGATTGTAAATGTGGGTAGAAAAATGGAACATAATGTTATATAATTATGATCAGATTCAGATGGATCTAGATCTACCTCAATGACCTTTAAAAAGCTTGAGATCCAATACAACAGAAACAATCTTTTTCTTCACTGTAGTTCAATAGTTAGTTTTTGCTTCATATAAAATCATGTTTAGTCATTCAAAGTTAAGTTATGCAATCTAATGTCTTTTTCCTCCTTACCACTGACCCTCAGATATTTCTTGTCTTAATCTCTTTGATTAGCTGATGAAAGGTATCAATTGAACATTTGGATATGAACAGAAAGTGTATGTTATAGATGCCTTAGTTAATCAGAATTCAAGAAGCAATCAATAAATGGAGCTGGTATATAAAATCATAAAAGCGACATATGAAATTCCAGATAATTGATATGATGTTTTAATTGGTGTTCAAGTAAAACATGGGAATAACAGTAGCATGACAATGAATATTGTTCCCAAGTATTCAAGGTACATGTATTTCATTTTTGAAAGTGTGTAATTATAACGAGTATTGATTATTGGAGTTTCCCACGAATAGGCCCATAGGCGTTTATTTGAAAGAGGGGTATATGAAAAAGTCTTTTTTCCCTCTTTACACATTTAAAATACTTCTTAGTAAACGCCCAGTGGGAGAAAACATTCGAGAAAAGGATTCTTTCAAATAAATGCCCTGTGCAAAATAAATGCCCATGGGCCTATTTGCAAGAAACTACGGTATGATTAAAACAAAATTTTTCTAAGTTAGGAAAAATGTCAGGTACTGTTAGTACACGAGTTTCTTTATTCATGATAAGCAAACTATATAAAGCCACAAAAAATGTTTAGTATTTACAAAGTTTATTTAAGTAAATTGCATTACATAGATTAGATGTAGAATACAGACAACAGATACTATAAACACTTTTAAAATTGGGACTTCCAAAATCTCAAGTTTATAGCAATATATTCCTAATTTCATACAGTTAGTTATTTTAATTTGGCCATTCAAAGTTAAATATATGTTTAATGTCACCTCACTTCTATGAGATTTTTTCAGAAAGCTAACAAGAATTTCGAGTGCCCAAATATGTACTTGTAATGATTCCCATAAAAGCATAAAGATTGGGAACTTAGACCATAGTATAATGAAAGAAGTTTCATAAAAGCATAAAGATTGGGACCTTAGACCATAGTATAATGGAAGAAGTTTCATAAAAGCATAAAGATTGGGACCTTAGACCATAGTATAATGAAAGAAGTTTCATAAAAGCATAAAGATTGGGACCTTAGACCATAGTATAATGAAAGAAGTTTCATAAAAGCATAAAGATTGGGACCTTAGACCATAGTATAATGAAAGAAGTTTCATAAAAGCATAAAGATTGGGACCTTAGACCATAGTACTGTATAATGGAAGAAGTTTCATAAAAGCATAAAGATTGGGAACTTAGACCATAGTATAATGAGAGAAGTTTCATAAAAGCATAAAGATTGGGAACTTAGATCATAGTATAATGAAAGAAGTTTCATCTGCAGCTATCCAAGTATGTGTTATGTCATTTTAACTGTTGAATATTATATTATAAAAAATGAATAAATGAATAAATTGCCTTATACAACAAATTTCTTTGCTTATTTAAAGGAACATGCAATCACAAAACATCACATAAAAATAGAATATATTTGATACACTTATCATACTGATTTAATAATTAATTTCTGGTTCTTCTTTTATTTGATGTAGTTCATTAACCAACATTTTAGTACCCAGTACTTACAAAGCTTTATGTTACAGCATAAATGTGTCACTAGCTATCACATTACAGAAGAAATGTGTCACTATTACATTACTTTCTTGTAAATGTAAATTACTACAGTATAATACTTTACAAATATATACAGTCAATAAAAAGTACTCCTAATACAGTATATACAAAGTCAATCAAAAGTACACAGTAAGTTTTCAGAAATTAATAGCCATAAATAATGAAAATAATCATATCCAGGCCTGGTATTAAAATGCAGAAACATAAAAATACTTTAATTATTATGGAATTACAGACAGACCAAACAGTAAAATACAAATGTAATCATGATTTGATAAAGATGATTGTCAATTTTGTATGTTTGTATGTACATGAGATAATATGTTTTTATAGACAAGCTGCCTATAAATGAGCGATCATATGTCTGTATGTGTAATAAATAAGTTTGTTTATGCTACTCGTCTATCTGTATGAAATAACACTCAACAAATAATACCAGATAACTGTGGCATGGCAGTACAGAGCAACAAAACGCAAAACTATAAAAATAACAAAATACCAATAAAAAAAATATATGTAATAGGAATGTGTGTGTGTGTGTGTTTGTTTGTGTATTTTCATCTCAATGCACGTATGTATTTAGTGTTTGTGTTTGTCTATATTATGTTCACTCTAAATGCACCCCTGTCATAATAACATTACATCACAATGTAGCTGCTTGGTGAGAATCAATTCTATGTTTGTTTGAACTAAATTGCCTATTTGTTTCTTATTTCCAAATCAATCAGAATTCACATATCTTCTCGTCGTTGCTTTAAATAGAGATATCCAGTGTTTCTGATTGTGCATAGTCCATGGCACTGTTGATACAGTAACATGCTGACCATCTTATTCTCCAGTGAACTTCAGAACTGATTTTTTAAGTGCCCAGCACAATCACAATAACACTGAATCATGGCCTGGGCATTCAACTATACTTTAGTATCATCATGCCCTCGAGGCATCAGAGATAGAACCAAAGTCAGGCAGAACATTAGAGGCCACATTCATGCAATGGGCAGCACCTTGATGAGTCTGACCCAGTGGAATGGAAACTGTTGATGTTGCCCGGCTCCCAGTTGCAGCCATGTTGATTTCCAGTTCATCTAAAACAGAATATCATATTTGACATAAGATTTAACTGCAGCTAAAATTATAATGTCACAAAAATTACTGTCTTATTCTTATTGGACAAATTGTCAAATGACAATATATTAACATATATATATCAACAAAACTGCTCTAATATTCAGCGTAATAATATAGCAATTATAAATAAAAATTCGAAATGGAACAAACACACCAATCAGCTGTGGCAAAAAGTTGAACAATATAAACCGTTCAAATAATTAATAAAACTGTTCAAATAATTGTAACTTACTCATAATGTCAAGAGCCTGTCTAGCTGAGGGTCGTCTTTTAGGATTTCCATCCAACATAGAGACCATCAGATTGTACAATGGACTGTCATCACTTGTTATACCTGGGCACATTATGCCGAGGACCTCATCTACATCTTCACGACTACGCATCTGAAACAAGAGATTTAATGAAACTATCCTGTCTAAATATCAATTGGTGTAAGCAGATGTACACATGTTTTAGCGTAGAATACAATTAGAAAAACTCCATGGAGTAGCAAATCCCACTGAGCTAAACATATTTCGGTATTTAGTGGAAATCTTGAAAAGGATGGGAATCAATATGGTGAACTTTTTGAACACACGTTTCTCTTAAACCAGTCATCAAAAAATTCTGTAAATTTTACACATAACTTTTAAATGAGCGGCCATTTTGAAAATCATATATGTGTACAAAATATGAACAAAATCGGGCCAACTGTATTTGAGTTATTGCCCAGACGGACGTACGTACGGATGGACGGACAGACGGACGGAGGCGTTCCCTATATCCCTTCGAACTTCGTTCGATGGGATAATAAATATACTTTTCTCTATATTGTATTAGAAAACACATCAGACACCTCTTTTGTTCTTGGTATCAAATGTTCAGAATAAAATGAATCATCTTTCCAAACTTCGTCATTGGAACTAAATGACATACAACAGACATGGGTAGTTGTGATATCCTAATATCCACCTATAGAAATCTACTGTAGTACTTTTGAACATTCCTCAGAAAAAGGGAAAGCACAGCCGGACTTCAAAAAAAATTTGCAAAGTATGTATAGCTGACTACTATACAGGACAGGTAGGCTTGATACTTGACTATAGTTTTTATGCTCTATCCAAATCACATGTTACAGCAAGTGATAGACTTTCAACTTGGACTCGACCTCAGCTAGGTCTGTGTTGTAACCCCCCCCCTCCTATGTCCCTAATCATCAACATGTAAAAGTTGAACCAAATCCATTAAATTGTATTTGAGTTATCAAAGATAACATTTTTTGTGAAAAATAGCTGCCATTTTAACTAGATAACGGCAACTCCGCGGAGTAGCAAATCCCAACGAACAAAATATCAATTACCGAATTCGAATCAATTATACTCATTACTTTGGTTGAAAATGAAAAAATTAGATTTTAGAATTGCGAATTCCTGCAAAGCAGCCATTTTGAATTTTCTGAGGTACAAATCTGAAAAATAATACCATAATTGTGATCTACTCCAAAATTCCTTCAATTTGAGTATAATATAGCCATACTTTGAAGGGATCGAAAAATTATTGCGAAATCGTACATTAGACGGCCATTTTGAATTTTACGGGGCTGGAATCAGAAAAATGATACAATATTTGCAATCTACTCTTAATTGCCTTTCATTTGAGTATAATAAAGCTATACTTCAGAAAGATCTAAAAATTAGCGAAAATTTCTGTTTTCCTGTCCCCCCATACATGGCCCCTGGGGGTCAGGATGAAAAACACGGAATATATGTGAAATAGATAAATGTTGTGAATACACTACCAAAATTTCAAACAATAATATTAATTACTTTGGTTTAGGATGAAAAATTTATGATTTTTGCGAAAAAGTCCCATCATTTTTAAAGCGGCGGCCATCTTGAAAAAATTTTTTTTGCGTAAAACTATTCACCAATATACATCTTTGCACTAAATATGAAGAAAATCTGTCAACTAGTATTTGAGTTTGACTGACGGACTGACGGACAGACGGACAGACGGACGTCATTTGTTTTTGCTGCATTGGTTTCTTCATTTATTTTCTTCTTTCTTTGTCTTGATTTGATTGCGATGTTAGTTATCTTTCTTCAGGGTCCACAGACTTGAGACTGCGCATAGGTGGGTTAAACGTTTTGATCCGGCCGGAAAACTCTCCCCTTCCCCTTACTGTTGGTCTTATGTTGATTTGTCCTCTTAGTTTACCCTCTTTGCGGAGAATATACTGTTTCATATTCATTTGTTAATGTTCTCTTCTCTCGTTAATTTTCCAGTGCATCATGATGATATTCTCCTGCATATTGTATTTAGTACATATCCATTTATTTCTTGTTATAGCTTTCTTAGTATACGAATTTAGTATGTTGCTCCTGTAGCCTTGACATTGTAGTTTATTTCCCAGGCTGGTAACTCTGTTTGTTGCATCTTCCAGTTGACTGCAGATTCTTGAAATCCTTATTATTTGTGATATAAATATTCCATAAGACTGGTTTCTAGGAATATTTCCAGATAAATCAGGATATGAGACTATTAGGAAATTGGAGTTTTCCCTTTTGTCGTATAGTTTTGTAGTGATTTGTTTATTTACTATTTTCATTTGTATGTACGGACGGAGGGCTTCACTATATCCCTAACGAACTTCGTTCGTTGGGATAAAAAATGGTGGCCAATTTGAAAATGACTTCTTGAGCAAGGCTCTTTTGTACCAAGGCAACAGCATATAAAATTTGAACCAAATCCATCGACAAGTATTTGAGTTATCTAAGATTATATATTTTTCCGAAAATATTGAAAATTCCTTCTTGAGCAGAGGTCCTACACCCATAAGGCATAAGCCTATAAAAGGATGAGTCTGGGAATGAGTCTGGGTATCCACTTAGAAAATATTGAAAATTGTAATGTCTGAAAAACCAAGTCAATCACACATATTATTAAACTTCAATATCTTATCTTTCTTCTGAGATTACAAGAATATAAATTTGTATCACAATTGATGAAGAATATTGGCATCAAAGACAGTGCATATCACTTTGTCAGAATTGAAAAAAAATCAATGGCAAATATTAAATGAATTATTTATGCAAAAAGTTTGAAACATATCTTCCAAAACATTGGTTACTTTCTTTGTATAGACATTGAATGGTATTTCTGGATAAGTGAATTGGTGTTTATCTGGGTAATCAAGGGATAATAGTCACTCAAAGTTACTGAGCATCCGGTTTTGAGACTTCAATTGTGTTGCTGATGAAGAATATTGGCATCAAAGACAGTGCATATCACTTTGTCAGAATTGAAAAAAAATCAATGGCAAATATTAAATGAATTATTTATGCAAAAAGTTTGAAACATATCTTCCAAAACATTGGTTACTTTCTTTGTATAGACATTGAATGGTATTTCTGGATAAGTGAATTGGTGTTTATCTGGGTAATCAAGGGATAATAGTCACTCAAAGTTACTGAGCATCCGGTTTTGAGACTTCAATTGTGTTGGTGATGTTACACATATTTCAGTCAAATTCATGCTGAGCACAACATTTTGATTTCAATTCTATAATCTCTATACATGACCCTCACTGGCATGTAGCGGCCCTGATATCGATAAATTCTACACGCAATATAACCCGATTCTACATGCTTGGTTAAAACTTTACACGAAAAAGCTTTGATATCCGGGCATTTACTCTTACACTGAACTGAAAATAGCATCGTCTAAACGTGTATGTGTTGGCTTCCGGGTAAGTTTATCAACATTTATACTCAATTGAAAGAGCAGTCGTGCTTATATCGTGTACCAGTTTTGATTTATTTATATGTGTGTGTATTTATAACATGATAGCCTAGTAATACCGTGTCGTTAGAACAACTGCTAGATATCGAACTGATGACCTGAAATTACATTATTGGACTGATCGCGCATCTGATATTAAATGATTAATTTGCATTGAATCTGATATTAACTTGCAACCCGGCCAATACCATGACTTTACATTTGAATGATAACACGGCCTCATATTCTAATCCATTATACGTCCATTGCAGGCCAAAAATGTTTCAATGTGGATATTGTAATGCACACGAGAATACGTTCGATTCGTATATTGATCATACATCAATTGAACATGTAGATTTTCCTGTACACTTTTCCCAAACCTGTGGAAAAGACAAGATGCGAGTAGGAGTAGAAATTATCTTGATTTACGTCATCAAATATTCAAAATTCATTTTTTGAAAAAATTCGAAACCATCGAATATCACTTTACAAACCATCGAATATCACTTTTTAAAACGTGATATTCGATAGTTTAAAAGTGATATTCGATGGTTTGTAAATTGTTTGCTAAAATATGATATCTTGGTCCACATATCAAATATTTCATTATGTGATATTCGATCTATATCATTGCAACCATGGGATATAAAGGATATCCTATGATTTATGAGAGATATGATTTTTATCCACGATGAATATGATATCTTAAGTATGTTTCCCATATGCTCCGGTGTGTTACTTGCAAAATATGTTATCATTTTCAAAATTTGTTTTCAATTTTTTTCAAAAATGAAAAAGAAAATTTCCAAATTTTTTGTCCAAAAATGTTTGTCAACATTTTTTTCACATTTTTTTGCCAAATTTTTTCAGAATATTTTCAAAACATTTTTTTCAAATTTTTTTACATAATTTTTTTCCAAAATTTTTTAAAATTTTTATTTTCAGTTTTTTTCAAACAATTTTTTTCAAATTTTTTTTACCCAATTTTTTTTACCCATCTTTTTTTCAAATTTTTTTTCACTTTTTTTTGGTATACTTTTTTTCAGAATATTTTCAAAACTTTTTTTTCAAATTTTTTTCAAAATTTTTTTACATAATTTTTTTTCCACAATATTTTTTCCAAATTTTTTTTCAACTTTTTTCCCCGAATTTAGTTTTAACATTTTTTGAGCGGGACATACGATTTATATGTCCCGGAGCTCCGTCGGAGCGGGACATACGAAAAATATTTGCCTGATATGGAATATAGTCCCTGTTGATATGCCCCTGAAACCTCATCAGGTATGGAATACATATAGGTTATTTACTGGGAGGGATTGAATATGGGTTTTATTCCGAGGGACAATATGATATTGACTGAAGGGTAATATAATATTGACCGAGAGCGCAGCGACCGAGTGTCAATATCATATTGCCCAAGGTCATTATCATAGTTTCCGAGGAATAAAACCCATATTCAAACCTGACCAGAAATAACCTATTTATTCCATAATACGTCCCTCTAGAATGTTACATTTGGATAATGCAAACGTTATATTAATAAATGCACATTGTTTGAAAAATAAAATAAATAAATAAAATAACCGGGAAACTAAAAAATAGGTCAATACGCTCCAATACGATTTTTTCACGGGGACAATACGATTTTTTCATGTAATACGCTCCAATACGATTTTTTCATGTAATACGATTCAATACGATTTTAATTCCTTCATATTTCCCTGGGAAAACAGTAGTATTATGGAATAAATATATTAAATGGAATAAATATATTTTCCCTCGGGACCTGCGGCCTTCGGACAGATGTATTATATTTGCCTCGGGGTAATCCCAATATCCTGAACCTTATATGGGATAATCTCTCTATCTACCTGATGGACCATAGGGACCGAAGGTAGACGTGCATATCTCACAAGGGATAAACCCCATATCCAAACCGACCGCACATATCTGCTTTATCATATACCAAGTAGTTTTCTAAAAAATTAATCTTATTTCCTTTTTTGAATTTTTGAATTTTTTTTATCTTTATTCTCTACTCTACTTGTCAAAGGATAATAGACGATAAATATATATATATAGTTTAGCATGATATGTACTTCTTTCTGTAACTGGAATACGATTCTAATATACAAGCAACACATGCGTATTCCCGGGGAACCATAAATATTTAGTGTAGGGTGTGGACATTTTTCTTTTCATTTCTCTAAAATCAGATTATTTTCATAAAATCCATACAAAGTTGGGCCTAAGCCTCTATTTTCGTATTCTGCATGTTAAGATATTTATAATGTAAAACCTAAGAGATAAATTCAATGTCTTCCGTTGAGAATAAGTATAAGGTAAATGTGTGAATTCTGCTTGTTGTTGCACTATTTTTATAATAAACAAGGTTCGATACGCAACACTGAATAGACTGCAGTCATAGCTTAGTTGTAAAGAAAACAAAAGAAGTTGGGACCTGGTCATGCTTAATTATGTTTCTTTTATATATCACCGTTTGCATTCGTTGAAATCGACCTGCATTGATTTCAAGAGGTGGTCGGTGTACAAGGTCATATGTTTGAGTTATTGGTTTAATGATAAATGTGACCCTTGAATGCGTTATGCTTTATGTATGCGTGAAACAAATACTCCAATGGCCTAATCTCAATTTGCCTACAAACAATATAACATTGAAATGATGGTCATCTGCATATTAACTTCCGCACCACACGTCTAACTTCGACACAATTCAGTAAAGTATCCAGTATCGCTATAATCGCTACATGCCAGTGACCCTGGTGATGAAGAGTCAGAATCAGTCAAAAAACCTAAACAGGAAAACTGTGCTCATTGTGAAAACTAAAAGTGAAGCAACTTTTTTTCTGATATTTCTTACATTAAATGGCAACCATCTTGTTTTTCCCCCTTCAAATTAAACTGGCGGGAAATTCAAAAATTTGAAAAAAAATTTAATCCTTAAATATATTTCAAAAATATGATTTTCTTTTTAATTCTTCATTGGTCTTAAGTTATTTCTTCTTTGTATGTCATACATGTTGCAATTGGTGTTTTTTTCTATGCTAATGACTTTTTTTTTGTTAAGATACTTATTTTGACTCTCAGCAGGGGGTTAATTATGCATCAAAACTCGTGAAAAAGTAAATATACTTATCAAATATAACTAGGACAGTAATAAAAACCATATTTCACATTCATTTGACTGAGAGACCAAAAGGGCATATACCCAGACACATCCTTTGAATGAAATCTGTCAACCAGTATTTGAGTTATTGCCCGGACACACAAACGGACAGACGGCTATTCTATATCCCCCTCAAACTTTGTTTGGTGGGATAATAAAGCATGGTAATGACAAATCATCATACACATACATACCTTTAGATGGTATTCCTTTAGGTCCTTTCTCGTTGTCACCGACCCCCAGGGCTCCTTGCCTGATATGAGGAAGTAGAGGACTCCTCCGCAGGTAAACATATCTGTCTTATCGGAGAAGCAATCTATTCCACGGAAATGGCATTCTGGAGCCTGGTATTTTGGAGATGTTATTATTTTACCAGATAAGTCATGTAGAATGGCTCCAAAATCACACAAGCGAATGTGTATTGCTCCATCTATCCCTATTTCCACCAAAATATTTGCTGGCTTCAGATCCAAGTAGATGTGACACAAAGCATGTATATGCTTCATTACCTCCAGGATTTGCCGCATAATGTTGGTCTCATCACTTTTGTGATAAGCATTATTTGTTTGGCCTTGGCGGAATTCTTTCAGCGTGGTACCTGAATATCATAAATAGGCAGAATAAATTTAAAAGTGTTATTCACACATAGCTTAGGTAAGGTGTGTCTATTATCAAAACAATCTGAACACAGTATTCCATATATCTGCACTACATTATAGAGCCAATAACTCACCCTAAGTCATCTGTTGAATGGTGGTCAAGTTGACAACTACAGATTAAAATTTGATGCATTGACCACTGGACGCTTGCAAAAAGTTTCATTGAAAATATGGTCTTTTAGTGATTTCGTATCTTTAGGTGATTTTGTAGAAAATATTTTGCAATGTGTGAAAAGAATTTAAGTCCAAGACTTGATACATTGTGGCTAATTCATTCAACTCAGGCCTTATTTCCTAAACTTCACACTCGATGCTTGGCATCTTGTGCAAAGGTTGAAATAACCCCTTTTTGAGGAATGATTCCATCCACATTGCACTGAGGCTTGAATCCTTAATTCAATGTAATTCCAAATATGATAAATTCCAAATATGATAACTGCATTGGATTTTAAAAAATTGAAGATTAACGTGGCTTATTTCCTGAAGCCACTTAGTAAAATTACGATTTCTCTGCACCTTGATGTCCAATCAAGATCATTCTTAAACAGGGTTATATGCCACCTTAAGCAATTCCTGTGCAAATCTCATATCATGTTATTCTAAAGAATAGCTCTAAAATAAATAGATAACAAAAACGCATAAGTTTCATAATATAATTCTGCATGTCTAGTTAAAAAATACTACATTTACATGATAATTGAACGCAAAACCTTTATTTTTCCTCTAAAATACACCAAGATTCTACTGAGTATTGTTCAGTCACTTATCCATCTGATGTAAAATTTTGGTGCATTTTAGAGGAAAAATAACGATTTTGAGTTAAATTATCAAATGTTCCAATTCTTTTTGGACCCACCGTGTACAATGAAGTAGAAATTACACCAGTACATCAAAACCACAATCATTCTAGATTCAAAATGAAACTCACCTCCATTTTCCATGAACAGTCTGCAGATTTTGTCCTTTGGAAATTCCATGAAACCATGAACTTTAGTGATGCCTGGGTGAGGATGGGAAATGGGGAACTTATATTCAAGACGATTCAGGTCCATTATTTTGATCTGAAAAAGAACAGATCATTGATATTTTATAATAATTATTAAAAATATATAAAATCTGTAGTGAACGGCTGAATGTGGTTTCTTAAAAGTAAAGTAGACATGCATAGTTTGGGCAGTTTGAATGTGGTTTCTTAAAAGTAATATCTATACTGATGAATACATGTACAAGGCCACAATGGGGATGTTTGATTACTTCTTTCACGATGATGTCAACCCTGATGTTTCTCTTCTTGTCAGTGTATCGTCTCTTAGTACAAGTTCCAAATGAACCACTGCCTAGTATTGTATCAGGCTCCTTAAAACCCTCTTCTGCTTCAAGACATTTATAAAGGCTCTGCAAATATACAATAAACAGAACTAGATTGGTGATATCTAACAAAATCAAATTCAAGAATCCAGATTTTTATTTTGAAAAGTCAAAATAATAAAGATTTAAAAAATTGTCTTTCTAACTTTAAAAGGTCAACATGAAGTTGGATCTCAATGTCAATTTCGGAATCCTGAACAAATTTCCGATTAAACTGATACCAATCTTAAGGAAAGTTTGGTTCATTAAACAAAAAGTATTAAAAAAATTAAAACAAAACCCACAAATAGATAAAAAAAATTAAAGTTAACCTTTTATTTCATTAACAAGATACTTTTTTAAATGAACCAAACTTTCTTTTGTACAATTACAATATACGTCGTGTATGTCATTTTATTCCAATGAGGTTTGGATAGTATGATACCAAAAACAAAAGAAGTATCTGATGTGTTTTCTAAAACAACATAGAGAAAAGTACATTTATTCTTTTCAAATTAAATTGTTACCATTCAAAAGATCATCATTCAATTGACGATGTGTAAAATTTTCAGAATTTTTTGATGACTGGTTTAAGAGAAACCTATGTTCAATTCAGTGCGCCATATCGATACCAATTCTTTACCCTTTTTTGGAGTCAAATATCTCAAAATTCGTAAGATTTTCATGAGGCATAGCGTAGGGAAATTGTTGGAAAATCAGTTGAACTTGGAAAATGATTCCTTGCAAGATATTTTGAAAGATTAGAAAGAAAATTGAAAACTTCAAAATTAAAAATTTGACCAAGATAAAAACTTGATCTAATTTCTGAGTAGGCCAGTCACGTACTTTAACTGACGATATAATCAGTTACGGAGAAACGCATTCAGATAAGTATAAGAATACAGGCAAAAGCAATGGACTCAATTTCAATCTGGAGTCTAATGAAGTTTTTGGTCAATTATTCCGCCATAAATCACAGAATCGCGGTCTTTATTCCTTTTCATGATTTTTCAAGTGCATAGTGGTTATCGGTTATCAAAAAGTCCATTTTCAAACTTCAAGCGTATGCAGTGGCCACTTGCTTAAATGCTGATCACTTGAGTGAAATGGTACCATCCATAACCTAAAAGACCTGTTTCAGATTCTATTACTGCCTCCCAATGAATATAGATTAACCTGATATTTCAAAATGAATGTACACTAGTAGCTCGTTGACCTATATTTAGCACTGTATTGATGAATGGGCAACTTATCAGGAAGTGTACAGGTGTAGACAATAAATCAGCTAAACTTTTTGTGTCTTTCAAAATCCATATGCATCTTACGCATCCCTACATCTTATCCCAATATGTTATTAATCATTAATGAAATAATCTTTGGATTTACAAAACTGTATGACATTTGATAATAACTAAAAAATGTATGAAAAAATGATCTGAATCAATCTCAAACTTCACATTTGCATATCTGATGTGATATTCCATTAGTGTCATGTTGTGAAATTATTTAGTTTGAGGTCCATTCAGGTCATAGTGTATTTTTGTGAAAATCAATGGAGACCAATGGAATATGATGATATCCCCATGTTAAGTCAATGGTGCACATTCCCATGTTAAGTCAATACACCCTTGCTGAACTTAATGACTCCAATTTGAGCCTATGTGTGTCTAAACACTTAAATATTTTCCAAAGAATCATCTAACATTGTAATCTTCATTTTACACCTATTAAATTTCATTTTGACCATGGGGGTATTTTCCCCTTATCGCACCCAGTCCTTGTACATCATTAAATTTACCTCATCAGTTATTACTGCAATGTTTTCACCATTGTCCTCCCCAAGTCCATGATTGTAGGCAACACATTCATTATAAGCAGCCAAATCCGTAAAAACATGTCTGCAATAAGTTTGAAAGAACATTTTTATAAGAATTTTATTAAGTACTCTGTCACAAATTTAAAACATTAATATGCACCTAGTCAAATAAACCACCGGTTGATAAAAATCAATATCCACAGAACAGCCTATTGTATAGACAATGTATCTGCAAAGTGACACAAACACTGATTTAAGTCACATAATGACACCATTTGGTGGGCTCAAATCTAAACTTAGTTGATTCAATATTCTTGTTACCCTTATGTATCTGATATTTATACAAATCAAAACATGTCCAGTAAAGAAAATATTATCTGTCAAATATAAGTAAAGATATTTCACTTTTTGTGATTTTATAACATGGGGTCTATAGGGAATCTCCTAGAAAGTTGATAAACACTTTTTAAAAACACATTTCTAGAAGTAATTTTAGTCGTAGATTTCAAATATGATATCACTTTGACTGAATTTAGAATTCTTATTGACTGAGGTTTTAACATCAGCACTTAGAAAAGGATTTCATTCTGTGTTTTCATTAACTAACATTATTGCTGCTTAATGTAGGAATTCTATACTGTACACAGGTAATAAACATTTCTTACTTTACGTATCTAGTGCTATCTTTTATCCTTTCTGTCAGCCTGAATCCATGAGGAGGCAAAGCCAGAGACATCCCTGCGTGGTCGTTATCTGTAGAAGGCATCCCATTATAACCTTCATCATCTAATGACTGAAAAAATTAAATGGTTATTTTGAAAATATAATAAAATGTTTGAGCCACGTTAAATAGAAGTCAAATCTGCAAAATGATGATTTCATAATCATAATTTCCCTTTTAATTATAAAACTAAAGGGTTCAGATCAAATAAACATGCCTTACATTACCCTGATTATTAACAATAACAAAAAAAAAATGTTTCAATATAGTACAGCAGCTTTGACAAATTAAACAAGGCACAGACGTGAACAATATCGTACCTAAAACACAGCGTTGTGGTCTTGTTGACCAAGAAAGCAAGATGGCCGCAGAAAAGTTAATCAGCTCTAGAACTTATCACTGTGTAACATATGTAAAAATTTGAACGGTTTGGCTGGAAACCTGTAGACAAGCCTAGATAGACAAGATTTTAGGACGGAAAATCTAAAATGGCAGCCTTAACATTTACCCAGAATGCCCAAAAACTAATCAGTTCTTGACGTTGATATGTAGAAACATCCCTGAAAATTTCAGATGAATCCCTCAAATGGTTTGGCTGGAAACCTGTAGACAAGTCTTGAAAGTGAAGATTTTAGGACGGAAAATCCAAAATGGCCAGATTTATTTTCTTTATTGGGATTTCTTTTGTTCCACGCTTAGAAAATAGTCGTTCAAACAAATATGGGGGTTAACATGAAAACCTATGAGGAAAACCACTGGTCCTTTACTTTTTTTGAGGAGTATATTATTGATTTACAGTGTATCTCCATCCAGGGACCCGTTTTTGTACCGTTCTTACTAACGAACGTTCGTAATTAATCCATTGTTTAATTTATATTGTGATTTGTGACGTTTTGTCATTCTAAATCAGAGAACACAAAGGGCAACACCGTTATCAACGTATTATCAACCTATTTCTATATCTATTTTAGTACTTTTCATGGAATCTTTATTTTTATAAAGTTCTTATTGTATGACTTTGGTTTTATTATTTTGATCAACCCTGTTTGTTGTACTATCTGTCCTGACAACTGTGGAATATGACGTCAACCTATTCGTAAATCTAACTCTAAACAATTGGAAAGTTACGAATGACTTACGAAAGCGTACAAAAATGATCCATTCGCAACTTTACGAATTCCTAACTCATTCGTTACTTTTTAAATATTTACGAATTTACGAATTGCGAACGTTCGTTACTACGAATGGTACAAAAATGGGGCCCAGGTGTTTTACTTATAGACACTACCCAGGTGCTGCTGAAAAGTTGCAAAAAACATTCTTATATTAAGGGAGCATACAATTTACTGAATGTTAAGAAATGCTTCTCTGTGGTACCTGTATACCATAAGATATTCTATTGGAACTGTCTACAGACACTGGTATCATGACCATCTCCCCACTGGCAACCTTTGGAGCCTCATGCTGTGACTGGTTGGTTGACATCTTCATCTCTGAACTCATCTGGAATTAAAGACAATATTTATGATATGCATAGTGACCACAAATTATCTAACAGTTTTTCATTTTCAATTCCTTTTCATATATTTTGAAGGAACAAATAATGACAGACCATGGTGAAATTCAGCACGAGTTGGACAGAAAAGTCACTACAAATGCACTCACCTTCGGTTCGTGCTTTGTAGAATTTCACCATTTTGAATGGTCTATCATTATTTATTCTGACTTAAACATAAAACGAAAACCTTGCTCAGAGAATTGGGGATTAATGTCAATGAAATAACCAAACTTGCTGTTATTTTCGCCATTCCCAGTTGTGATGTCATAATACAACACAATACATGTACATTGATTCCTGCAGGATTCATGGAGGCAGATTGAAAGAGCACGGTCGTGTGTCTATGGAGAATTAGAGAATGTTTTATATTGGCTATGCTGCATTCTGACTGGTTGAGAAATATATGGTCATGTAATAAATATATATTGGAACACCTAGAGAAAATTTATTCTTTAATAACCCTTCTGAAGAAAATCGTAACAACTTGTTACTTTACACTACTGATGGAATATCACAACCTTAAATCGTGCAAAGTATTTACCATATATGAGGGGCGATTCAAAAGTCTTGGGACACCCTGCTCTTATTCTGTTGGTTTATAATAAAATTACTTGTAACTTTCCAATAATAAAGATCAACAACCTAACTACATTGTGTATTGATTTCATGAAGAAATAATTTATCTAATGTATCTTTCTAGATTGTTTTTTAATATAGGGACCCTGTCACCCAGAACTGTATTTAGAAACCACAAATCACATTACAACTGTTAATATGGCAAATGCAGGTGCACAATCTAACACCAGTCATTGTATTTTCTAATTTTGCAACCTGAGTGTCAACTACATCAGAGGTGTAGCGTGGGTATTTTGTGAGAGTACGCCATGAGTGAGCGAAGCGAACGAGTTTGTGGGGGGGTTTGGGGGGGGGGTTCTCCCCCAAGAAAATTTTAAAATGAGATTGCATTTGAAGCGTCCTGGGTTGGTTTGAAATATGAAATTCCGACTTAATCTGGACCAATTAAATGTAAATTATTAGTCATTTTTATCCAATATTTTATTATTAAGCTTACATGAACCCATTTTAAAATAATGGCAAGACGAAATAGGTGCTTCTTGGAAATAAAACTCGTTATGATGATGGACGACGTAAAATGATAAAGTTAACGCTACTTATATCTATTTCAAAATTGCATCAACTCAATTCCGTTCAACCACAAAACAGGAGAAAGTTGGGTAAAATACGAACCTAATCATGTTATCATTCATTTGTGCCGCTATGATGATCTACACAAAAAGTACGAACATCCCAAACTCGTACGCTAACGAACGTAAAGAAGCTCGCAGCCGTACAAAAATATATGTATTTCAGAGAGAAAATTTAGATTATTACAACACAATTAAAAAACAAACAACACAGGATTAGAACAAATCATTTATTTTGTTTTTCATATATGATTGTTACTGTTACTATTATCTTACTATTTAAGATCTATCCAGTATTTTTAAAGTGTGGGGCAATTCATTATAAAAATCATTTTTCTCTCAAATTTGATAGTACACAATGGCGTTTTTTGTGTATATGACGCTACGCCATTGTACATTCATCATCTTCACATATTTAACTGTCAACATACTTTATATTTAAAAACCACAAATCACATTAGAACTGTTAATATGACAAATGCAGGTGCACAACCTAACACCAGTCATTGTATTTTCCGATTTTGCAATCTGAGTGTCATCTACATTCTTTTAAGTAAATTATTTTTAGTGAAACTTATACAAAAACTTTTTGAGATGTTGATCTTTATTATTTGAAAGTTTCATGTAATTTCATTCAAAAATGGCAAAGTTAGAGCAGGGTATCCAAGACTTCTGGATCACTCCTCGTACAAATAACGATTCTAAGACTGAGATTCAAGTTAAATTACAGAAAATAAAATTTGTAACATATTCCATCAAAAGTGTAAGATTAGCTAAGATTTTCAAGGTTGAGCCCATTCAAGATTTAACAAGTTATTAACATGACAAAATGTCATCACCTAGTTGCTCACAATATTATGGAGAACTTGTATATGATTTTGTAAAAAGGTCAATTAGAAGCGAAAGACCTTTTTTGACACTGAGAAGGTCATTGAAAGTGAAATCTAAAGTCAGATTTGAACTTCTGAGAACTTGTACAGGGTGGTCAAAAAATGGAAACCCTGTCGCCATTTCCCTCATATCTTTGTCATTTTAAGAAATTACTCCCTGATATTCAGCACATTTGTACATCATTCAATTTCCTACTGGTCTACCATATTTCATGACCATCAAATTGATAGTCACAATGTTACAGCACTTTAAACAACATGCTCCAGTGGCCAATATAGCACTTTCGGCAAACCTGCACCTATCATCCAAAATGTCCCTACCTAACTTCAACATGTGGTGATACACCAAAAAGGAGTGTACTAGAATAACCCCAGGACAACTGCAGACCTCAAAAGCAGATCATCCATGTCATTCGGGCCGTACCTGCTGAAAAATGTAGTCAGATCATTGACAACCTGTTCAGATTTGCCAATAGCGCGATGGTGGCCACACTGGGGCATCTTGTTCAAAGTGCTGTACCACTGTGACTATCAATCTGATGGTCATGAAATATGGTTAACTGGTAGGAAATTGAATGTTGTACATATGTGTCAAATTTCAGGGAATAATTACCCAAAATGACAAAAATATCAGGAAAATTCAGGGTTTCCATTTTTTTTTTGACCACCCTGTAGATGATTTTGAAAAAATAGGTAAATTTGAAGCAAGTTGAAAAAAGACCTTTTTGAACATCATTGAAGGTAACTTTTTTGACCTTGAAAATGTCGTTGAAGGTCAAATCTATAGTCAGAGTTGACATTTTAAGAACTTGTAGATGATTTTGAAAAAACTGGTCAATTTTGAAGCAAGTTGAAGCAAGTTTTTGACCTTTTTTGACCTTAAGAAGGTCATTGAAGGTCAAATCTCAAATCAAAAGTCAGATTTGAACTAATGATTACTTGTAGATGATTTTGAAAAAAAATTGGTCAATTTGAAGCAAGTTGAAAAAATACCCTTTTTACCTAAAGAAGGTCAAATCCCAAATCTAAAGTCAGATTTGAACTTATATGATAACTTATTTTGAAAAAATTGGTCAATTTGAAGTTGAAAAATACCTTTTTGATCTTTTTTACCTTGAGAAGGTCAATGAAGGTGGGATTTGAACTTCTGATAACTTGTAAATGATTTTGAAAAAAAATTGATCAATTTGAAGGACGTTGAAAAAAGACCTTTTTTGACCTCGAGAAGGTCAATGAAGGTCAAATCTCAAATCTAAAGTCAGATTTGAACTTCTCATAACTTGTAGATGATTTTGAAAAGAAATTTGGTCAATTTGAAGCAAGTTGAAAAAATAGTTGAGAAGGTCAAATCTCAAATCTTAAGGTGCTATTGAAGTTAACAGGAAATGACAAAACAGGAAGTGACAAATCTTTTTGCATTTTTAGACATTTTTTGAACAAAGATAACAGAGTTGTGTTTTGACCTCCAGTCGATTCAACTAGTTCCAAATACCATTTACAGGTCCAGGATCACAATGTGCAGGGTCAGAATGACCCTAAACATGATGAAATAACCTTTTTAGCCCTTTGAAAGTGTGACTGAAAAAAAGCTAAAAGTAGGAGCTAGGGAAGGTCACTGAACAGAATCTTTTGAATTTTTCAGAAAATGTGCTCAATATAATGCTCCAACTGATACAATCTTTGAAATTTTAGAAAATTGTCTTAAACAAAAATAACAGTCATAAAAAGGAAAATAAATCGCTTTTAAAATAATTTTTTTCATTTTTTTCTTTTTCAATGAATGATATCAAATTTTCAAAGATTGTATCATTTAGAGCAATATATTGGGCACATTTTCTGAAAAATTCAAAAGATTCTGTTCAGTGACCTTTCCTACCCTCCTACTTTTAGCTATTTTTCAGTCACATTTTCATAGGGCTGAAAACGTTATTTCATCATGTTTAGGGTCATTCTGACCATGAACATTGTGATCCTGGACCTGTAAATGGTATTTGGAACTAGTTGAATTGACTGGAGGTCAAAACAGAACTCTGTTATCTTTGTTCAAAAAATGTCTAAAAATGCAAAAAAAATTGTCACTTCCTGTTTTGTCATTTCCTGTTAAGTTCCTTAGCACCTTAAGTCAGATTTGAACTTCTGATAACTTTTAGATGATTTTGAAAAAAATTGATCAACTTGAAGCAAGTTGAAACAAGGCACAGGACGTGAACGAGATCACACCATCAAATAGGCAGACACTATGAACCAGGAAAACTGTTCTCCTATTATGTTTACAAATTTCAAGAACAAGAAAACAAGATGGCTGCCCAAAAGTTAATCAGCTCTAGTACTTGATATCCTCTATAATTTGTGTAAATTTGAAGGAAATCCGATGAGCGGTTTTCCTGAAATGGTGATGACAAGATTTTTCTAAAAACCTTCAAAATGGCCACCAGAAAACAAGATGGCCACCCAAAAGTTAATCAGCTCTAGTACTTGATATCCTCTATCATGTGTGTAAATTTGAAGGAAATTCGATGAGCGGATTTTCTGAAATGGCGATGACAAGATTTTTCGAAAAATCTTCAAAATGGCTGCCAGAAAACAAGATGGCCGCCCAAAAGTTAATCAGCTCTAGTACTTGATATCCTCTATCATTTGTGTAAATTTGAAGGAAATCCGATGAGCGGTTTTCCTAAAATGGCGATGACAAGATTTTTCGAAAAACCTTCAAAATGGCCACCAGAAAACAAGATGGCCGCCCAAAAGTTAATCAGCTCTAGTACTTGATATCCTCTATCATGTGTGTAAATTTGAAGGAAATCCGATGAGCGGATTTTCTGAAATGGCGATAAGTTTTTTCGAAAAATCTTCAAAATGGCTGCCAGAAAACAAGATGGCCGCCCAAAAGTTAATCAGCTCTAGTACTTGATATCCTCTATCATTTGTGTAAATTTGAAGGAAATCCGATGAGCGGTTTTCCTGAAATGGCGATGACAAGATTTTTCGAAAAACCTTTAAAATGGCCACCAGAAAACAAGAAGGCCGCCCAAAAGTTAATCAGCTCTAGTACTTGATATCCTCTATCATGTGTGTAAATTTGAAGGAAATCCGATGAGCGGATTTTCTGAAATGGCGATGACAAGATTTTTCGAAAAATCTTCAAAATGGCTGCCAGAAAACAAGATGGCCGCCCAAAAGTTAATCAGCTCTAGTACTTGATATCCTCTATCATTTGTGTAAATTTGAAGGAAATCCAATGAGCGGTTTTCCTGAAATGGCGATAACAAGATTTTTTGAAAAACCTTCACAATGGCCGCCAGAAAACAAGATGGCCACCCAAAAGTTAATCAGCTCTAGTACTTCATATGCTCTATCATCTCTGCGAATTTGGAGAAAATCTGATGAGCAGTTTTCCTTAAACCGCGATGACAAAAGCGGGACGATCACGATCACGACCACGATCACGACCAGTATGACGACTATATCCCACCGATGGTGTGATAAAAAGACCTTGTTGACCTTGAGAAGGTCACTGAAGGTCAAATCTTAAATAAAGTCAGATTTGAAATTCTGAAAACTTGTAGATGATTTCGAAAAAAACTGAAGTCAGTCTAAAACAGTATTTGTTAAGTTATTGGAAGTTTTAAGAATTTGTTACAGGCGCCATCTGCCACAACCACCGTCAAAAAACGGAGACCATAACAATATGTCACCACTTTTTGGTGGGGACATAACAATACTTGAACATGAATTTTTAAAATCGTTGACTTCCCTGGATTCTTTAAGTTCAGACAATACATAGACATGACAATGGGGATCTAAGAGCTGTCAAAATCTTAACAGTCATGCTCTTTACAGTAATTTTTCCAATATTCAACATTCGCAAATAACTTGTCATTCTCCCCCTTGCCCCTACCTTCTTTCGTCTACAACAACTACTGACATTTGGACACCATTGTTTAAACAAGATAATAAATTCTTTTTTATCATAATTACTTTGCTAAGGTACCATCTTTATAGGGCAATGTTAAAGTTTCACTGTACACTTTATTGACTTGACTTTCTGAAATGATATCGAAAAAGCCAAAGTCCAATTCTCTTATAAAAGTTGGTATGAGAGGACTTAACAGTTCTCAAATAAAACAGGACTGTAAGAAACTAAAAAACATGTCATATTTCATCGAGTCTTTTAAATCCTTTCAAGTATGAAAGCTAATGTTGTTAATAAGTTTTTTTTACCAATTTGGTACGTAGATTATAATTTTAACATAAAATAAAATAGGATTTCAAACACTTATAGCTTTTCAATGATTGAATTGGTTGAAAGCAGTTTGAACCAGTTAAGTTCTTTGTGGTAAATTTGTATGAGAGTGAAACCAAAACCAAAACAAAAGAGAATCAATACAACATTCCCGAAACCAAATCCTGATACATTAAATAAAATTGTAGGACTTGTAGGACAGTGAAACCAATTTATTAAATACATATATAAAGTATATAAATAGTAGCCCGGACAGAATTGTTCAATGGTCACTTTTTCTTTAATAACTTTTTTAATTTTCAGTATTATCATAGTCTGATCAAATATTTGAAAACTAGAGTAAAATTCTGACATACAAAAAAAATATTTAAGGAACATCTCTTAATTTATTGATATTATAGGCGTTCATAGTATGAGTGACGCAAATACATAATTCACCATTTTGTCTCATATTTGTTCAAAAATGGCGGCATGTTTTGTGGTTTGAATGTTCAGTTGAAAGTTAATATTTAAGAAATGTCATGGGCCTACTAAATCATGTAGACTGCTGCTTTGGTATGAGGTAGTGACTGCATATATAACCTTTTGTTTAAAATTGACTTGTATGTATACCAGTACTTAAAAAGGTTTGTACATTGTATGTACAGTATATTGGTAAGGTCGCAAGACTTTTTGGCCATTCCATTTTTACTTGTAGTGGATTAGCAACCCTAGTTCGTTTAACCTGTGCAACTATAGGGTTATACTGCCACAGTTTGCAATGTCTTTCCCAGTCACACACCTCTTAACCCATCCTTGGTATGCATGTGAATTGTTCCTCATCTTCTCAATGGCCTCTGAGATGGCTGTTTGGCGCTCTTGAAAAGACTGAGGAACTACTCTCATCACACCCTGCACATTGGGCCGCCACTTTTTCACATCCTCTTGAACACAGCCCCGAACATTTCAATAGAGTTGATTTCATATACCCTTGGAGGGAGTTGACTTCTTGTTTTTGATGAATAGTCAGTTGCTACATTACATCAGGATTGTAATGGTGGCAGCATGGCCCTATAGTCCTATGACAATCTTTAAATATGAACTTTCAACTGAACATTCAAATTCACAAAATATGCTGCCATTTTGAACAAATATGAGGCAAAATGATGAATTATGTATTTGCGTCAGTCATACTATGAACGCCTATAATATCAAAAAATTAAGAGATGTTCCTTAAATATTTTTTTTGTATGTCAGAATTTTACTCTAGTTTTCAAATATATGATCAGACTATGATAATACTGAAAATTAAAAAAGTTATTAAAGAAAAAGTGACCATTGAACAATTCTGTCCGGGCTACTAAGTATATACAGTTCAAGCAAATCTTTTTCTGGTATTTTAAAATAAAATGCCTTGTCAATTTGAACAAATGTGCTAACTAATTTTGGTTTTGCAATGCAGCAAGGCCCCAACATCGTCATAGGTTCAAATTCATAGACACATACATGTATTTCTAACTACATGTATTACATATATATGGTGGTGTACTACTTTGAGACAGTAAAATGTGTTTCTAGTAAATGGCTTGCACATAAAGTCATTGTGACATGACACATTAACATTGATTATTTTAGAATTGATCAACAACAGACACTTATATGTTCAAATAACAGTTTTATTAGAGATACAAGATAACCTTTTGAATTATTGTATAACAGCCTAGAACGAACAAACTGCTTTAATATGTATTTTAAGACCAGTTATCACTTTATGAGAAATGCTTTTATATTTTCACATACCTTGAAATCATCGCATATCATAGGTACTCCGTCATGAGGTTGGCCTATATCTTCAAATGGCACGACAGCATCCATCTCAAAATAATCCTTCAACTTGTAAATACCCTTGCTCTGAGACGAACTTGGGCTTGGTGTAATTCTTCGAGGCATAGCCATTTTACCTGTAATTTATAAAATGAATTCTTGAATTGTTACTATCAGTATCAGGACATGTTTATTCAACTAGTTCCACATACCATTTACAGGTCCAGGATCACAATGTTCATGGTCAGAATGACCCTAAACATGATGAAATAACCTTTTCAGCCCTCTGAAAATGTGACTGAAAAATAGCTAAAAGTAGGAACTAGGGAAGGTCACTGAACAGAATCTTTTGAATTTTCCAGAAAATGTGCCCAATATATTGCTGTATATGATACAATCTTTGAAAATCTTTGAAGGCATGGGTTCATTTCTTTACTTTTTTTCAGGAAAGTATCATCACATTGTCTTCTTTTATTATATCTGGTAAGAGGTCAATGGGAACTCCAGAAAATTCTGATATTTCACACTTTCTATTTTTCTGAATTTTCTTTCAAAGTTTCCAGACAACACAGGAGCTACCATTGACCTGTTTCCAGATATTATAAAAGTAAACAGTTTAATGATACTTTCCTGAAAAAAGCAAGGAAATACACACATGACTTCATACTTAATTCTGTACCAGAAAATAACATGTGCAGGTATAGCAATTTTTTACCAAAATGTTACTTTCCAGCTGAACCTTAAGTATCATGGCACCTTAAGGTAATGCTAAAGTTAATCAAAAGTACAAAAAATGGCAGCCATATTTTTTTGATAAAGTCACAAGATTTTGTATATCTGTTTTCCTTATACAGGGTGGTCAAAAAAACGGCAACCCTAATTTTTCCTAATATCTTTGTCATTTTTAAAAATTTTGCCCTGATATTTGGCACACGTGTACATCATTCAATTTCATACTAGACTGTGCTATTTTATGAACATTGGACTGATAGTCGCAATGTTACAGCACTTTAAACAAGGTGCCTCAGTTTTCCAATATCGTGCTGTAGGCAAACCTGCACACGTTTTCCAAACTTGTCAATGACATAACTGCATTCCTCAGCAAGTATGGCCTGAATGACACATGTGATCTTTATTTTGAGGTCAAATGTCTTTCTGGTGTTATTACCCTACACTCTATCTATGGGATACCCTCACTGGTAAAGATTAAATGGGACCATATCTGGGCTATGGGGTGCCCATTCATTGTCTGTTGTACTGCTGATGTGGTCATTGAAGTGGTCCCAATGCCATTATTGTGCATCATAAGGTGTATGGGGTATGGTTCTGTCTTGTTGGAACCACTGTTGCTGCCTATCAACCCCCCTGTGTTCACCTAAAGTCCCCAAGAACTCCATGGTAATCACAAAATAGAGTTCGATGTTGACAGTTATTGCCTATCCGTTGGTATCATCAAAGGTAAAGGACCCTATCTTCTGAGAACACACTAAACTGTGCATCTGTCTGTGTGAAGGTGCCTCTCCACTACTTCATCAAGTGCTTGGCTTCCCAAGAATACATAATTGTTAGAGTTTACCAGTGCATCAAGTTGGAAATGGAGTTCATTTGAATAACAGACCAGCTCAGACAGCCTGAAAGTGGCCATCTGGGGCATGTTGTTTAAAATGCAGTAATATTGTGACTATCTATCCGATTGTCATGAAATATGGTAGGTTGGTAGGAAATTGAATGATGTACAAATGTGTAAAATATCAGGGAGTTATTTCTTAGAATTACAAAGATATTAGGAAAAACTAGGGTTGCCGTTTTTTTTGACCACCCTGTATGTGAATGCACTTACTGACTAAAGAGACATGTCAAAGAAAACTTCACATTTAAACGCGATTTTATAACTATGAATTGAAGGTGCATGGGTCCTTAAAGCTAGCATGGAGACAGTGAAGTGAGGATAACTTTTTAGAATTTCAAGGAGTAGGATTGCAATGGAGACACATTTGTAAGACTCCAAAATTTCCACAAATTTTCGGCGGTTAAGACATCTGAGAGTTCAATTATATTATGTTTGAACGTTATAGTCTATACTTCATCGCCTCAGATGTTCATGCAGCCAAATTCTAGTTGTCTCTTTGCAGTATTTTAGCATGAAATATTTTTATTTGTGCATAATTTTTGTAAGTGCAGTTATGTTATTGTTCTTGTATTTGCCTTGTTCTGTTATGATGTATTTTATTGTATTTATTAATAATGTGTAGTATACTGGTTTCAGGCTTAATAATAATTTTATACATTTTATAGTCAAAACAGAAATGTTTGTAACTACTTTGAATTTAAAAAATAAGCAATCAAATGACCATATTGAAACAGTGTATGTAAAAATAGAAACATTTATATTTATCATAACTTTTGTATATTATAGTTTGTTTTGTAGTTTAGCTATCATATCTGTGTCCCCTTATATTTTGATACTTCTCTGCCATGTTATTTTCAGAAAAATTAACATGGCTGAAACTCCCTAAATTACAAAAGGCCACAGCTTTGCTGCACATTATACATTACTATCTGAAATACATTACCAAATGAGTTCACCACTGACCCAAAGTTCACAATGCATAAGCCTGGCAAAGAAACATATAATGATGATGGCTCATACAGGCCAATCACTCTTGAATCAGTGATCGGAAAAATTTATGAAAGGGTCACAAATGGGAGACTCAATTGGAATGCTGAAATAAACAACTTATACTCTTCTTTCCAGGATGCCTATAGAACCGGTAGGAGTTGCACAACCAACCTAATCAGATTAGTACAATACATCCAAACTGGGTGGAACAACAATCTGGTTACAGCGGCTGTCACGGTGGATTACTCCTCCTGTTTTGAACGTATCTGGAGAGAAGGGCTAATTGTAAAGCTATTTGACAAGGGTGTAAAGGGTAGACTCTTAATTTACATTGCCCAATACCTTGGCAACAGAGCCTACACCTTAGCTGTAAAGGAACACACAACAGAACTCAAGAGATCCTTTGTAGGTATACCTCAGGGGGCCGTAATTTCCCCGTCCCTCTGTAACTTATATACTACAGACGCTTTAGCGAGAATAAAATCGCGATATGGAGAATATGCAGATAACGCAATCATATGGTGTACTGGGAAGTCAATTGCAGACATAGAGAAAACACTGAACGAAGACTTAGAGCAACTGGCCAGGTGGTGCACTCACTGGAACATGGACATTGCCACAAACAAGACAAAGGTGCTTGTATTTACACCCAAAGGCTCAACTGAACCTGATATATCTATATTCTTCAAGCATTCAAAACTAGACGTAGTACCTCAAACTAAGGTGCTAGTAGTCACTATAGACAACTAGAAAAACAGCAACTCCACGGAGTAGCAAATCCCATCGAACAAAGCATGTTTTGGTAAATAGCGGCAATATAAAATTTGAGCCAAATCCATCCACTGGTATTTGAATTATCAAAGATTGTGTTTTTATGAAACATGGTTGCCATTTTGAAATTCAGCTGTCATCAAGGCATCAGTATATAAAATTTGAAGTAAATCTGTCCAATGGTATTTGAGTTATCGAAGATTACATTGTTTATGAAAAATGGCAGCCATTTTGAAATTTAGCTGACGCCTTTGAAATTTCTTCTGAAGCAGATCTCCTATTTTCCTAAACATCAGAAAATAAAATTGAATCCATTCACTGGTATTTGAGTTATCAATGATTATGTTTTTTTTACCATTCACTGGTATTTGAGTTATCAATGATTATGTTTTTTTTACGAAAAATGGCGGCCATTTTGAAATTCAGCGGCCATCTTGAAAATGTCTTCTTGAGCAGAACTTCTTTGTCTCTAGGCATCAGCATGTAGGATTTGAAGCAAATCCATCAACTGGTATTAGAGTTATCAAAATTTTATGTGTTTTTTTAAGAAAAATGGCCACCATTTTGAAATTCAGTGGCCATTTTGAAATTCAGTGGCCATCTTGAAAATTCATTTTTGAACAAAGCAACTGTGTCCCTAGCCATCATCATATAAAATTTGAACCAAATCCGTTCACTGGTATTTGAGTTATCAAAGATTATGTTTTTTTAGCTAAAAATTGTGGTCATTTTGAAATTCAGCTGCCATCTTGAAAATTCTTTGTCGAAAATAGCAACTGTGTCCCTAGGCATCATCATATAAAATTTGAACCAAATCCGTTCACTTGTATATGAGTTATCGAAGATCACATTTTTTACAAAAATTGGCCGCCATCTTGAAATTCAGCCGCCATCTTGAAAATTATTTCTTGAACAGAGCTACTGTGTCTCTAGGCATAATCATATAAAATTTCAACCAAATCTGTTCACTGGTATTTGAGTTATCAAAGATTACGTTTTTTACGAAAAATTGTCGCCATTTTGAAATTAAGCGGCCATCTTAAAAAACTTTGTCGAACATAGCTACTGTGCCCCTAAGCATCATCATATTAAATTTGAACCAAATTCGTTCACTGGTATTTGAGTTATCAAAGATTATATATTTTTACGAAAAATTCCGCCATTTTGAAATTAAACGGCCATCTTGAAAATCTCTTTTGGTGCGAAACTCCTTTGTCCCTAGGCATCAGCATATAAAATTTGAACCAAATCCGTCAACTTGTATTTGAGTTATCAACGATTACATTTTTTACGAAAAATGGAAGCCATTTTGAATTGAGCGGCCATATTGAAAATTCCTTCTCGAGCAGAAGTCCTACACTCATAAGGCATAAGCCTATAAAATTTGAACCAAATCCGTCAACCGCAATTGGAGTTATCGCCCGGACACACGGACGGACACACGGACGGACGAACGGACTGCTTCTCTATATCCCCCCGAACTTTGTTCGGTGGGATTATAAACTTAAATTCACTTCACACATTGAAGAGAGACAAAGAAAAGGATTTGGTGCTCTAAACGCATTGCAGACTTTGCCAATGCAAACATAGGGTGCAAACAGGAAACCTTTACATCACTGTATAAAACATTGGTAAGACCAAATTTAGATATGGCAACAGTGTGATTGCTACATCAACCTCCAAAGCTGCAGAAGCGTATAACACAGTGCAAAGGCAAGCACTGTTGAAAGCCACTGGCTGCCTCCA